TTTGTGGCGTCAAGTGGACCGCAGCCTTAAACCAAAATATATTCAGCCGTAACATAACCTCTCCATGTAAACAGCAAACAATTTTTCTGATACTGGTTGCACAGATTCAGCATGCACATTAGATTTATTGCAGATATATTATCAACAATGAGTACTTACTTATCAATCGGTTTTCCACACGATATTTTGTTTTCTTTTAATCGAAACACCAGAATTAATTCCGTAGTAACAACTTTGCATCGATCGAGAAACAGCGTGCTACGCGATGTGCGGTTACTGGGACTAGCGAACTTCGCAGGGTTGTACCAGTATCCGAACAGCCGTGACGTGCGAGACCGAATAAACAATTTAAAATAAATGGTAATCCGTGCAGAATCATACTTCAAATTTGTTTGTTATTACAATAACGTATTGTAGATCCCTACACAATTTTTAAATTTGCAATATTCTTCACGAAATGCTTAATAAATTGAAAACATTAAAGTCGTGTGCGGCGACTGGGACGTGTGCGGCCACTGGTACGTTTACCTTAACGGTATCTCCGAGGTGTTCCGTCGTGATCGCATTTCTTGCTAAATCTAGCGTGGCCGTTTGTCGGCATGTTTCTTCTACAATCTTCACACATTGTGCGTTATTATTTGACGTATTATATTTCCGATGTTTAATTTTTATGTCGCGGTACGCAAATGTCACATTTATTATTTAATTATAGTCGGGAAAAGAACGACGCTATTAGATGATTTATAAAATTCAGTTTTAACGTGAGATTTGTGTGGCGAGAATGAAATTGTGGATTCTTCATTTGTATTTGATATAATTAATAGCATATTAATATTGCATTTTAGAACAATACGAAACGAAACGCTAACCGATCTAATTAAATCGTTCTTTTATCATTGTTATATGCGTAATTCTCAACATTATTAAAAATTATGATATATGTATAATAACGCGTTAAAATGTAAATTCATTGTACAATGGTCGCTAGCCCAGACAGGTTTAATGTCCGAGAACTTCCGCCGAAGCGAATAAATCATATGACAGCAATATCGAATGCATATAATAAATTCGATTGTGGTATAATATACAGTTAAAAAAATGTTGTCATCCTATTTCTGTGGGTGGATCATTTTACATAACAAAGTATCCCGAAATCATGATATTTCACGAATTTATATCGGTTTCTATTTAATAACCTTGCATGAATCGTCTTATTTCTTTAGGAGTTAGCTCTTTTTTCTTCTCTTGTTCCAAATTATATGTTATACATAATGATAGCTATTACTGCTCGGCTTCGCGCCCATTTTATGTAATTGCTTGTAGTGTGTGGGCCATATTGTGAAAGTATAGTCGTAGTCAATCACCATATTAACATATTATTTGTAGAATAAAAAATAATCGTGATATTAGCTAAAATATAAGTTGATCTTAATGATTTATAACAGTGGCTATTGTTAATCATATATTACTTGTTGATTGCCATGTTACACCTCTAATTTTATATGTTTTACATTAAATGTGCATCAACTTTTATTTATCTTCTTGCTTCTCAAAATATCGTATGCCACTTAAGCGTCTGAACATCTGAGAGGAGCGTGAGAAGAGCTGCCACCTTACACGCACTAAGTGTTACATAGTACAAGGTCAGGAACTCGTAACTTTTTAATATAACTCCGCTGCTGTACGTGGCATCAGAAATACAACGTTCAGTTTACAACGCGTTTAGTTTATGACTGTTTTACGAGGTGCGGACGACCGACACGAGCTACGAGTTCCATAACTGTCAAATCCAAGTGCCATTTATGGCTCAATCTTTAGGGATACGGCTGCCAGCAACGACGTCGTTTATTTTATCCGGCCGTTTTATCTACATCAACCGATGATACACGTATAAACAGATCGTTCAACACTTTTTTGTTGTTCTTATACCGGCTTAATAGGGAAACGACAATAAGTATTAAATTTTGTCTTTTTTTTATATTCGATTATACAATATATTTATTATTTATGTTTCAACATTTATTCTCGCTACTTCTTAAAATCGAAAGAGTGTGAACATAATGAATGCAACTCGTTTCTTCCGGGATGGACCGACTGATAGAACGCAATCGGCATTTCAATCGTTTTCTCTCCTCGATTACGTCGAGATATGTAGTAGATAAAAGACTGGGACAAAGAAACTCCTATCCAGAGGCCATTTTGCTAACTAGAGGCCATCGTAGTTATATGACGTCACTTCCATATCCAACCATGGCGTCACATGACGCTCCACCCTGTTTTCAATCACCTTGGCCCCGAACCCACCCAGCTGTCAGACATGCTCCACCCCGTTTTTTCCTCTTCTTCCGTGCTATCACTATCGCCATCTGTCGACAATATTATGCACTTCTTAGACCCTTAAATAATCAGTTAGTTTATGATCTTTCCGGTCGATGTCACCACTAAATGAGGCCTAAAATACTTATCTGATATATGTATGTATCTCGGATTTGGCACAATTATTATGTGTCACACCTCATTAAAAGGAAGAATAACTGCTCTACAAATAGCATGACATTATCTCGCTTCCTTATGTTTTATTCTGAATTTAAATCAATTTGACAAAATTTTGAAATTTGTAGAATAGTTTGAGAATGAACTGCAACGATAACTGATTCTGCACACTTCGCTGCTATTAAATTAAAGAGAGCGGGGGAGAGGGTGCAAAGCTGCAAAAATACGCCGTCCACGTCAATAGGATTCAGATACTTGCACTTCAGAGGAGGATACATAAAGGGGAATTTACGGGGCGGGAATTGAGTTCAAATCCTGCGAGAGGTTGAATTTATACGCGAGGGACGAGGAAGGAGAGCCGTTGGGGAAGGGGGTGGCGAGCGCGTGGAATCGCTATCGGCGGCCATTCATCAATCCGTGGAATCAATACGCTGGAATTAATGAAAGCGCCGCGCGAACAGCAAGCTAGCGGCCGGAATGTTAATCGCGATCGTCCCGCGTCCGACCCGTTCTCATGTACAGCAAACTCCCAAGGGCTGCACCTCTCACCCTCTCTCGCACCCTTTACCCTGCTATGCTGCCCGTTGCACATTCAAACGCGCTCCTAACTCCGTGTTTAGCGCTACCCATACTGTCATGCCTCACCCGCAACAATACCATATGTACATTCACGTGTATGTACATTTTCATTTATTTCTTCGCTAATGAGAAATGACGAATGACGAATGGCGAATTTTTCGCGATGTAAATGCCAAATGTATTATTGGTTTTAAAGGACTGTTTTTTTTATTAACCATTTATTAACCATTTAATATTTTTAATTTTATCTTACTTTATATTTAAAAAATTAACTTAATTAAAGTTCCTATACTTTAAGGGAATGGTATGTAATGTTTTATAGATACTCTTTTTAACTAGAAACTTTAATTAGTTTTCTATTTTTACTTAGCTAATATGGAAATTTAAAAAAGAAATTTAAGAAACTAAAATATTAGAAAATTGCAAAAATTGAAGTAAGTTTTACTTGTAGTTAATTGTGTTGGGATATATCGGATAGGGTCGGTATAGAAGGTTTCGATCTTGAACCTCCAGATCAACATATGTTCTCATAAAAGGCAAAAATCCCTCGCATTTCAGTCGATAAAAAAGCAATGTATTGTTTTATTAATAATAGTGACATCTCTACTACACGCAATTAATGTTTCTTTAAATTAAAATAAGAAAAAATATTGAATTTAGATTATTTAGAATATTAATCTTATTTTAATTTTTTGCGAAGCTTAAAAAATTGATGCAAGTCGAAATTTTTTACATATGTAGTATTTATACATATAGGTATAATATATGTATAAGTAAAAAATAAAATCAGTCATACATTATTAATCGTTGTATTTATATCATTTAATTTTAACATTATTAATTCGATATTATTTGAACAGTTGTTAAAAATATTTTTATTCTTGCAGAATGTATTTAATAAAATATTATGTATTTATTTTTTTATTTTTTTTGATATTTTGCTATTGAGATTTTACTATTAAGTAAGATTTTATAATATCTTTTATGTAATTTTTAAATAAAGATTAATAGCAAAGTATTCTTTTTTTAATACTAACAATAAGATAGTTTGTGGTGTGTATAATAAATGCAGTAAAGTTTATAGAATGTTTAAATAATTAAATTAAATTTGTCTATGTGAACATGAAGCTATATAAAGTTATAAAAAAAATTAAATTTTATTTTTAAATTAAATTGTGTTATAATTTGTTTAAATAAAAATATTTTCTTAAGAAGATTAATTAGATAAATTTAAATTAATTGCTATTCTTATTTGTTTCTTAAATATTTCTTTTGTATTTATGATTAAATTGACATACATATTGAGTTAGAGTTAGATATAAGTGATCTGTGACCTACTATACTAATTTCATGCGACGTGCGTATCGGAACCTTTACAAAGCTTCCGAAAAAGAGATTGATGTGAGGAAGAAAGGTTTCAGTGGGAAGTGGCCACGCTGCCTAATGGTTGGAAATTTTTCCAAATTTAACGATCGCTTAGCCCGCCCACAGAACTCTGTAATAAGTTTGGCGTCTGTGCAATGGCCGTCACCGTGACGAGCACATGTGTAACTCGCCTTCTGTCATTCACGAGCTAAACTTTGCTCAGTTCATTCAGTTCGCTTGACAAGGATCATGCAAAGTTTCAGTTGCGTCCGCGATGCTATTTGCTCAAATATCGTAAAATATTCAAGTAATGATATTTATTTTAAAATTTTCTTGCTGATTATGAGATTCATGGTAATTGCGAACTATCACCAATGCTATTTTATTATTTAATAATTTATTAGCATTTTTAATAGTATTGTAAATTTAGTATAATTTGACATAACTGTTATTTACACTAAAGTATTTCACGTTATGTTACATGTGAGTCAAGCGTAATTAATGTAACTTATCTTTCCTGTATGTGTAACGTAATATAACACGTAATTTTCTTTGTGTTGCAGGTGCGGCATAATTTTGATCATAGGGTGGACAGGGGAACGAAACGGGTCTGGAGTGGCTTGGCGCTTTGAACGAAGGTGTCACCCCGGGGAAGACGAAGGACTTTGATTACTATCTTCCGCTACCACCTTGTGTATACGTGTGGTATACTCACCCCTTTCTCCACTTGCTAAATTAGAAAGGTTCTGTAGTGCTCCAGTTTATGATTTCATTCACTTTTGGTAGTGAGCTCAGTGTGATAAAAAGTCAAATGATGTACATGTGATCCAAAATGATGGTAATTTGATATATATATGTATATATACATATATGTATATGTGTGTGTGCTTGTGCTGCTCAAGAGTGCGTGAGATGACAAGGGTCGAGTGAGAAAAAGTAAAAAAGATTCGTGAAGAAATGCAATTTCGAAGTGATAAATCTGTATCTATGTAAAGACGTGCCAGTGTGTCCGCACAGGAAGAGTACAAAACAAAATAAATTTATGAAGATAAAAGGATAGAGAGAAGAATCGTAGATCAGCTGAAGATAACCAAAGGAAAGTCAGTCAGCAACGTAGACAAGTGACATAAGCAGGTGCGACAGGTGGGACAGTAGCATGAGTTCGTACTTCGCGAATTCGTATATCCCGGACCTGCGAAATGGCGGGGTGGAACACCCGCATCAGCATCAGCAGCACTACGGTGCGGCCGTACAGGTACCTCAGCAGACACAATCGGTCCAGCAACAATCTCAGCAAGCCGGTGACCCCTGCGACCCGAGTTTGTTACGTCAAGGAGTATCCGGCCATCATTATGGAACCACGGGAGGTCAGCAAGATATGCCTTATCCGAGGTTTCCCCCGTACAATCGGATCGACATGCGGAACGCGGCCTACTATCAGCATCAACAGGAACACGGAAGTATGGACGGCATGGCCGGTTACAGGTCGACGTCTCCGAACACCGGTATGGGTCACATGGGACACACACCTACCCCCAACGGACATCCGTCCACCCCCATCGTCTATGCCAGTTGCAAACTTCAGGCGGCTGCTGTCGATCATCAAGGCAGCGTTCTCGACGGACCGGATAGTCCACCTCTCGTCGAAACACCGCAGATGCACCATCAAATGCATAGCCAGCATCCACACATGCAGACGCAGCAATCGCAGCATCCGCAGCAGCAATCGCAGCATCAGCATCTGCAGGCACAGCAGCAACATATGATGTACCAACAGCAACAGCAATCTCAAACTACGTCGCAACAGGGACAAGGTGGAATGCACCCGCAACAGCAGCAGCAAGCTCAGCAGCATCAAGGCGTCGTTGCATCGTCGCTCAGTCAACAGCAGCAAGGCGCGCCTCAGGGTGCGGCAACTGCAAATTTACCGAGCCCATTGTATCCTTGGATGAGGAGCCAGTTCGGTAAGTAAGACATTTTTTAGAAAAGCCATATTATTATGATGCGCCTTCTTTTCTTAAACTTGAAATCGTTGTCACAACTCACGTTTACGAATGAGCAATTAATATGTGCAATGATATCAACTGCGAAAAGATAAAACATTTTATAGTATAAATTAAATTCACTAGTCTTATAATTTGTTAAAACTTTAGTTCTGAAAATTACACATAATAGGTATATATTTCGCTTTAACGTACATACTAAAATTTGTTAAAAAAGTGTATTATACACACGGCACTTATTTTTATAAATTTAGTAGAATAAGAAAACGTGACCTCACTTCCAAGAATAAAATCAACGTTTTATTCGATGCGTGACCAAAAGTCTCGTAGAAAGCTAGGTTTCTAGTAAGTAGTTTCTCAGGTAACAGGTAGTAGCCAACTTTTGTATTTATGCAACGGAGCACAAAACTAAGCCAAATCCGTACGGTAGCCGTTGGCTCAGGATTGGCACAACGTCTCTAGATACATCGCGACCGGAGTTATTTATTGCGTTGACCTGTTAGTCTGTCTCTTAGTTTCACCGCTCATTCATCAGGTCACAATAAGCATTGTTCTTTTTTCATGTGACTGCCGCTTGAAGTCTCAAAGTCGATACATTTGTTTTTATTAACATTTATTAACATTTTTATTAATTTGTAACCATTGTAATTTGTCTCATGAGTCCAACTGGTTGTATTCTTGCTTACACCACACGTCTTTGAATAACAAAGTTAATATTTTTAAGAATTTATAATTGGTTAAAAAAAATACTTATTATGTATATGTCTACCTAATGCTTTATATGTGCAATTAAATATGTGCTTCGATCAGATTCGTGGACGATTTGACAAATCTTCTCGCATTTTTTACGGTATTCAACACTTTTCGGAGGTATGTCTATTTGTGGCATTGTATAGCATAGCCATAAAGGAATAACAATAAGGCTAGACCGTCATTTAGGTAGAAAAAATCTTGGATGCACACAATTGAATAAGTTATGGAATCCTGCTAAGCCAACCGTTCCACATTCACTTCTCCGTTTCTTTATTGACGTATAGTTCGACCCACTCTCGATCAAAGAATGGTATCCCCATATTACCTAATTTTGCAAAGGTAGCATCTGTCTGAAACAAAAAATTCTGGCGAACCACTCTTATGTATCTTCTCACTTTCATATTCTTCAGTCACTCGTCGTTTCTTCTGGAAGCAGTTTCTCTATATATCTTTCTTCGAATGTAAAGTCAGTGGAGAGTATATGAGTGACACGATTAATTTTTTTGTGACATAATATTTATAAAATGATGTTTCAAAAAGAATAGAAAACAATCAAAGGTATGTGCCAATATCTAAATATTTAAAATACCTTATATTTTCTCTTTTTTATATATTACGACTTTTCTGTTGTACGTACATATATTTTTGAAGCGTGTTAAGAAAACCATTTTAATTAAAACTATTTTAAATTAGTTTCTATACGTTTTTAGATATAATTGTGCTTTTTTATATATTTTTTTTATTTTATAATATAATTTTAGTATAACTATAATTATAAAAAGATTGCAACTTTTCGATAAGCTTTTTTGCAATACACAAAAATGTGATATTATTTTCACAACTTTGGTACATATTAATTAAATCATCAAAATAAGAAATATTCAATTTTTTTAGTGTTTATACATATTTTTTCCATTAATGATTGCTCGTACCATCTTTCGGTTAAGTTCAGAAGCAGATCCCAAGTATCTGCTTCAGGACTGGCCGATAAACACTACGCTTATGACGACGCTGGGGCTTGTAGTTTACTGCCTGTTAAACGAAGAAAATGGCTCAAGTCCCTGAATGTGCTCATAGATGTCGGCACGTTTAAGAATGTTTCGTCTTATTCCCTTATTGCCCTTATAAACCTAATTTTGTCCATTTTATTATAAGAATTTTAACATCTTTTTGTACAAAAATATAGAAGTCCCCTTACACCGCAATATTTTAATAAGAAAGTAAAAGATTTTAAAAGAGAAATAAGAACATTATTTTTCAAAAATTAAAATTAATTATTTTGAAATTATTTTATTTTATCTTATTTCTATTTAAAATGTATTATATTACTATTTTTGATAATTTTGAAGATTTTTTTACTTCGTGTTGTATTTTTATGTTTTGTTGTAAAATTTTAAATTCATACAAGTTCGATAGAGTTTCTCATATCAAATTAATTTTATTACACTACACGTATTCTGCTTTTTTTACATCGTATTTTACGAATTGGAATTAAATTTGCTATACACTCAGACTTTCATGAATTATGTATAGTTTTCTTTTATGGGTACTGTTGAAGTATTTGTGTAGTGAAATTACCGAGGTTTCTTGGTATCTTTTGTGGGACGCGTTACACAAGTCGAGAAATTCTGGCATAGTTAGTTGCACTACAAAGCAAAGACGTGCAAGGACATATAGATTCCTTGGTTAATGCCAAGATTTTAAGAGACACTGTTATAAATATGCATGGCACAATAAGAATTTTCATTTTTCCGTTATATAGAATATGTTTATATCAGAATTTTGTCACAGAGTCATGACGCAAAGAAAACTTTATTATTCTAATGCAGTTAAAAAAATTTTAAATAGTTCTTATATTGAAAGACAAACAAAAGTATTGCCATGTGTCAATTTGATAACATTCGAAAATCTCAACATAAATCTTTTTCATATTGGATAACACAACGTATTTGCAACACCACCGTTCAATATTTGGCATTCTGATCCCAAGTGTTGATTCGAGAAAAGGAGACCGACCACCGATGCTTTTAATGCATGAGATAATTGCGACCCTCTGTAAAAAGATTTATGACATCTCCACTCCTTTCCCCCTCATATATTCTCAATCGGCAAATAAGCATGGTGTGATACAGTTACAAAGCTTCCGTTATTGCATACGTGCGTGCACGCTCATATATTACATTCCTTATGTAATGTGTATCCTGAGAAGTTTAGAACATACATGCTACAAATAAATTTTCGCGATACGAAACATATGTTATTGACAAAAGGAAATAAAAAACAATTTAATTAAACGAACGGAATTCAACACTGTAAAACGTACTTCTTTCTTTTTCCTGTTATACACTTTTTCTATTGGCCAGGAAAGAAGTATTGTGATAATATGGAATAAAATATCACGCATGAGATACTAACATATAAAAATATTTTATGTTAACATAATATTTTATTTGCTACATTTACAAATTCGAAGTCATGTAATACAATTTTACTAAATATTTAAAGCAAAAACGGTATTCGATGCATCAAATACAAGTAAAATTTGTAGTCGTTATTTAAAAAGTAAATCAGTGGATAGGACAAGTAAGAAAAATCAGCATTCCAAATCCGATATGCATTTTATTATAATCCAACTAGCCGCTCAACAGATTGGTGGCCATAATGATGGCGGCTTCATGAGATATTCGAAAAGCGATGGAGTTCAAAAGGGGCAGGAAAGGAGGAGCTAAAAAAAGAAAGAAGAGAGGATATGCGCGTGTATATGTATGCACTCATATGTGTACATACGAGTGTAAGAGAAAGAGGGAGAGAGAGAGAGAGAGAAATAGAAGCAGTAGGAGGAGGTGGAAGGGACGGATGATGATGATGAATGAATCCACAGAAATCCTGGGACCGTTTTCTTTTGGAGCTCCGCCATGGAGGCAATTGTGAACGATATGGAGGTCGTGGTTTAATTTCCTATTCGATATTTGGCTAAAATTCAACCCTCGAAAGACAAAACTGCCTCTATTTAATTGCACACGAGTTGATTTATTCGTTTACGTATATTCGTATCCAACAATCAATTTAGGCCCTTGTATAAAATAAAAATTTCTATTTGTCGAATAGACTTTAGAATTTAATCACAAGTTTTATGGGACAGCCATATTGTTCGCATCTAGAGTAGCAGGTGCAAGAAAAAGTAAATTTTAATGCTCTGAGTGATACCGTAAAGATGCATATGTCGCAGCGAGCTGTTCTCGCTGCTCATTATCTCGACCTTCTACCTCGGGGCTCTTTCAGACTCCATCTTCTTGTCCGCTTGTCTGCTCGTCTGCCCGGAAGATAAAAAAGAGGAAAGCGAAAGCAAAGGAGGAAAAACCGCCTATCGGATACTCTGGTCTTCTTGAGGGTTTCTGAATTCCCTCTATGAATGTAGTGGTCTAATATATTTTTCTCTTTCACTGACTTCTGTAGAATTTAATCAATTTTACAAGTGATTAAACTATATAAAACATTTAAATTGCTCTAATTTTAAATTGAAATTATAATTTTATTAAATAAATAATTGCACATTGAAAGACATGGTAAAATACAATATTAATATTTTAGGATTTAACCCATTTTATAAGGATTGTTTGCAAATTTGTAAGGATGCTACTAAAAAAGAAGATAAATTGTCTAACCTAAAATACATGACAAAATTAGAACAGTTTCGTATCATTTTTTATTATTACTATTTATTTCTCTACATTATTTTTGTATAGAAATTATTTCAAAGAATATGTATTTCAAAGAATATGCTTTTCAAGAAGTGTATATTCAAGACACCTTAACATTTGAAAAGAAAGTTTTTAGTTGTATTATTAAAAATTGTCACATAACAACCCGAATTTTAATCGTCGACTTTGTTGCATCTGGATGTTTATTCAAGAAAATATTTTATATATAGTTATGATCCGAACAATTTCGCACAATTAATATTAATGTCCATTAACGATATACAATTCAAGGCTGATTAGCGAGGGAATGCTAAAATTAATGGTACTTCTAAGATATCTAATCGAAGAACGTTTCAAGGTCTGGCCTTATAGTGCTCACGTAAAGCTTAGCTTAATTGGGCAGCGAGTGGTGGCCGCACCTTATTAGCGGGTTACAACATCCGGCTAGCTGTTAATCTGAAAAGTCCTGCGTGTATCCTGCGGCGGGCCTGAAAGACTAGTCAGGCAGGAGGGGACGCGGAGATGCGGAGCAACTAGCCTATAATAAGCCGCACGGTTGTGTACGTTCTGTTCTGTTTCGTTCCTTCATGCTGCGCCAGTGAAGGCAGACCCATAAATCTCCCGGGCATACTCCAGGGGACATTTGATCCTTGCGTAACCCAACGCCGTTAATTTATTGCTCCGCGTTTAAAGTCACCTCCGTCCGCGAAAGCAGCGTGGCAAGCGTTGGTACGCCGCGCCGCGCCGGTCCGGCGCAAGCTTAGGCCATCGGTATGACTTTCTTACTACAGGACTTCTTTCCATGCGCGCGTACGCGTGCTTGCGTGTATGTGTCACGCAGTATCTTACAATTAGAAATATCAATGAAATCACAATAACATAATAAGTTATATAATGCGAGAATATATAATAACGTTGAATTCAAAAGTAAAAACTGGTTTTTTATATTTAAATTTAAAAAAAAATTAGGTTTTGACATTTAAAGTTTAGAATTCAACACTTTTCAGAATATATTTTTATTGTAGAACCTGTTAAGAATATTTTTTTCGATTTCGCGATATACAATATTAGTTCGATTCTTTTTATGTTATATCTTATAAAAGCGTGTAATCATATTGGTACATACGTCTGCGAACACAAAATATTGCTGTCCCTTTAATTAACCCCACTCAACTCACGTACCATTGTCTGCCGTCTAATTCTCATAGCCGGATACATCTAATCGAGATTTTAGTTTTCAATGATCAAATCGGCTCGGAAACTTTATAGGTTTTTAGCTCATAAATAATACAGACTCGTCTCGATGCAGCGTTTAATAATTCATTTCTTTGCTCTGCAACATCTAGTGGCATGAGAGGATTTATGGGCGAAGTGACCTTTTGAAACAAACCTGATTATTACGCTGCATCAGCTCAGGATTATCTTTATTTAAAGTGGTCGTAGATGTATTTTAGATGAATATATAATTTTTATATAAAAATATTGCCTGGAATTTTGTTAGCATTTTAAAAATTACGTATACGATTACATTCGCTACGTCTTAATATTGCTAGTCAGTTTAAATTTTAATCACATATAAACTTCGATTTCGAATACCATTTACTTATTTGCAGAGTATAGAATAAAATACTATAAATAAAATTACTTATAAATATAAGTTTATAGATCGGAATTTTCCGAGTGTTATAGAGCTTCAACATGTTCCACGTATTTCTCCGACGCTTTGATGATCTATCGTTAGATCTAGAACATGATCTTCATTAACGGTGTGACGAATGAATATTAATAGGATGCAAGCTTTCATAGAACGGTCGACAGTACGCTTGACAGTCAATTATGATATTTTGCTCATGTAGTGTACGATTCGATAAAAGCATTTATGAAAACTTTGTTATCTATTTATGCGACGATCGATATAATTACTTTTTTATAATATTTATTACATTTTTGGTGGAACAGTAAATGGCTATTTTACTTAAAACGCCTGAGAGAAAGAGAGCCAAGGAAGTTGCCTAAATCGTTAAAGCTTATAAGAGAGCGCTAGAGATTGGTATGTTGTTAATTTGAGAGCGTAGCCCAAGGGAGAGAATAAGAGGGCATGTTCCCAACTTTCTCTGTCCCTCTCTTCCTCTAACGCGTGCTTTTTTTCTCTTTCTCCGTATCTCGTCCTCTTCGTCTAGTCGAACGGTTCAGGAACCTACGCGATCTCTCCATCTCTCTCCGGAGCAGAACCGCCATCCATCTTCATCGGCCGACAGCGCGACGGGCGGCGTTTGCCTCGAATGCTCGCCAAGGAGTTTTCTTCTTCTTCTTCTTCTCCTTCTTCACCTCTCCCCTCCTTACTTTCCAGTTCTCATCCCTACGCCTCTTCTTCCTTCTTCCCTCCCTCATACCATTCTGAAGCATTCTTGTTTTGCTCTCTCTCACACTCGTATGGCGGGTTAACCGAACCAAACCCTTTGAGGTTTATACCTTGTAAAGTTGCGAGACTTCTCACACAGAGTCAACTCGCTCTGTCTCCTTAGTATCTTCCTCCGTCTTTTCCGCCTCTCTCGCTCTCTTGGCAACCATAATTAATATTCTTGTTCGCGATTCGTGTATACTGCGCACCGACCGCAGATCATATCGCGGATATCGCTAAGGTATTTATCATATGCGGAACTGCATTTACGATACCGAGTTTTGTTTTTTTCAGTCGCGGCGGTATTTTCATTTCGTTAAAGTTTACAAAAACCTTTACCGGCCAGTTAAGCCGATCATAGGCTGTGGTATTTATTAAATATGTTACCTAACTAGCTGTCTGTATAGCTTAAAGATAAGATGGCCCAAGTATCCGCGTGTTTTATTCTTATAGCTGTACTTTGTCTATGTATAAGCGCAACCGCCATTCGTCAAAGAATGTATACTTCAACATTTTATAATGTACTCGATATTTAAAACATCTTGTATATAATATATGGCTATTTCAACTTTTTTTTCTTATGTATGTATATAACATAATTTTAGAACATGTAACAATTTATATTAATTTGAGATTTTAATTTTTTTGTTTCAGAAAGGAAACGGGGTCGACAGACCTATACACGATACCAAACGTTAGAATTGGAGAAAGAGTTTCACTTCAACCGATATCTTACTAGGCGGCGACGCATCGAGATCGCACACGCGCTATGTCTGACGGAACGGCAGATAAAGATCTGGTTTCAAAACAGACGGATGAAGTGGAAGAAAGAGAACAAGACGAAAGGCGAGCCGGGCTCGGGCGATGGCGACACTGAAATCTCGCCGCAGACGTCGCCGCAGGGTTAAAAGAGCTCTCCGAGGAGTGGAACTTCCTTTCCACCTCTCTCAGGGTCGTTAATACCTTGTTTCCAGCACTACCTCCTCCCCACCCAAAACCCCAATCCTCATCGATGACCTCCAAATGATCCCTCTAAGCAATGACGCTTATTTTGTCGTGTTAATCATGTTGCTTGTACCAAAAACGAAGCAGATAATGATAAAGGCGAGAAAGTTGTAGAAGGACCCGTAAGAGCGCTCGATGACGAATAGACGATAAGAAGGGAACTTACGATAAACCCAGAGACGTGAAGGAACGAGAAAGAGCAAGAAGAAAAGAACAAAACGAAGCAAAGACGCACAAACGAGTCAGTAGAGGATTTGCGGAAATGTGCGTGAATAAGGTGGATCAATCGTTATTGATCGAGAAGAGTAAATAAAACTGGATCACATGCTAATCAGAACCGCGTCAACCTCTATTACATTTAATCGATTATTGTATACTAAAGCCCTATATATATATATATAGGCTATATAAATATATATAGCCTATATACATATATACATACATACATATATACATATATATGTGTACATACATATATATATGGATAAAGATGTATGTTTAATGTGAAATCGTGGAAGCGAGTGACCGATGACCGGTTGGTCTTTACTAACGCATGTAGAAGACATGGTTCAGAATGATAGAGTTAAATTAAGAGTTAAATCTGCTGAGAAAGAATGATATGCGCGAATCTAATTGCGAGTATGGTAGAAAAAAAAGAGATCGTGTTGAAATCTTAGGAGAGCATTTTATTATTTATTCTCTTACATCGTAAAGTAGAATTGTAGAACGATCAATAGAATAGCCGTACGAAGATGTCCATCGCGTCTGTATTTAGCGATAGGTAAGCGGTTTAGTGTCGTTAGAGGATTGTTTAGATAGATTTCTTTCTTTAATAACCACCGCGCGGTGGCTCTAACGAGGATATTTATGATTCGTGCCAAGTGTGATCTTTGAGAATGTGTTTTGATAAAATTCGAGAGAGGATTCGAGTAACGGCGGGATACAGGAGGTGGACAGGAAGAGCAGTGCGGAAGCGGAAGAGGAAAATCGCCAAGTCTTACGTCTTATCCTGAGAACAGTGATACAAGTGTGTGCAAAACTAATTCCATGGAAGATCAGTGGATTTTGATGTATAAATATAAAGGTCATGGCGTTGTTTTTGAAATGCTGTATGCGGAAAAGACGACCGGTGAATGAGACGGACTAGTGCTGAATGATAAAGTGAATATGAAAAAAGAAACAGCGCCCTTCGGCGGAGCAGAGTCAAATGGACTTGACAGTTCTTCATCAGCGTCATCGCAAGGTTAGTCTATAAAGATTGCTAATGATATGCAATTATCGGTTAAATTGCTTTGTTTCTCGTTGAATCGTCGTGCATTTGATAAGAACAGTAAGTTTTGAACACCAACGGCATAAGCTTACATTTTCATGTTGATAATGCATAAAACTGTAGCTTACCCGTTTGCTGACCGATAGTTAGGAAAATTTGTTCCTATCACGCATATTGCTCAAAATACGAGTATATAATGTACATAAGCAGTTCTTTCCTAGTTAAAAAGCGTGTCCGCTTGGAAAAAGATGTTCAAATTACAAATTTTTTGACGTTATTTTCGATAATTTAGAAATGTATTTAAGAAATGTATTTTATATTATTATCTATTATTTGAATCAAGAAACTTTTTCGTTTGTACTTGTAATAGTTCAAATGATTTCAAAAAACAATTATTTGATATTAAGATATTTGATAATATCTATTGATAATATTTAAAATATCTTAATTTTATATTAAATAATGTATATAGCGTAATATATCTTTTACAATGTTGGACATGTAATGTGATCTCGAGTAAATTATTTTCTTTAGAATTTTTTAAAAAGAACAAATGCAATAGTTATACTCGTAATAGCGTTGCAATTCTTCTTTTTACTGTAAATATTGAAAGAAGATAACTCAAAGAACGAAAGTTTATTTGCATTAGTTTATTTGCTATCGAAAATTTGCTCTTGCTCCGCGCGACATGACGCCAAGTTACCAAGTGTTATAATACATAGCGTATTTTCGGAATAGGATGCTTTTGGCATGAAACCGCTTGGCACCTTAATAGTGGCTTAGAGCTAACTTAACCAAAAGAAACTTTTTTTTATTACAATATATATTGTACATACAATAATTTAATTGCATTATCATTCCAAACAATTATACTGCTTTTCAATTTTTTTTTGTATAGTACAAAACGAATTCAAACAATCTTTATTTTAGTCTTCTTAACTGACAATGTGAGTGATATTGTGTTTCTTTTGTAAATTATTTTCTACTACTATTTATACGAAAATTCTAGTATTTTTTATTTAGTTTTTACATGACGACACTCTTCATATGTGAGAGATGATCGGATCAGCAAGAATCCAATTTGTACATTTATATTGAAACAAGCGTGTGTTAAGTGTGGCAAGCGGTATCAGGGCACTCGTCAACTCGATCGTCTGATCTGGTTCGATGAATTGATTCGATTATGCCGTATCGGGAGATTCAGGAAAGCCCGGCCACGTTGTAGCCAGGCGAGCCCATATATTCCGCCGCGGTGAATTCTTGTGCTGTGTTGTAAACTTAGATTCGACATAATTATTTAGTGTATATCTTGTATACACCATAATTAATGATATACGTAATAAATGATATTAATAACCGCGTGCTAATTATGAACAGCGATCGAAAAATGCCTGTAGAGGTGGTCAATCTTCTAACTCGCTGCAGAATTTGGCTCCTTACCATCTCTTCATTAAAGATGAGAGAAAGAGGCGAAGAGAGTGGCATAAAACGTGTAATCGATATACGTAACGTAATGGTCCAGCTCGCGCTCGTGCGTCGATCGAGCAATGTGTGACCAGCCTTTCCTTCTCGAGAAATTTATTTATGTAAAACTCTTTGTCCTTGAGGAGCAACGAACTGTGTGAAATCTGCGGAAAATCCGCGGCGGTCGCTCGCTATCGCGCGTGTTTGAATCGCCCGTGTAATCTAGCCATTAGCCAATCATGGTCTCATGAAAGAATCCGTCTTTTACATTTTCGTTTCGTTATTCAGTTTTATGTAATTTGGATATATAGAGGTTATTATTTTTCAGATTTTTTTTTTAATCGTAAGTTGTACCAAGATCTTTTTTTACTTCTGAAGTACGACAAATGTACAGTTGTATTATTGATGAATGATGATTTATATACAAACGTACGACACACATGCAACCTTGTACGATATTATATGGATTTTCACATATTTTATTGCGAGCAAATTGCATGTAGTTTTAACTATATTAACCAAATTATAATATTTAAATGGTAGAGAAGGGGATGCGCCGTTCGCGAGATTCGAGGCTTCTTACCATTTCTGATAAGGAAGAACTCTTTATTCTTTGATATCAATTGTTGTAATGCTATGACTAAAAGAAAATTTCATGTATCCAACTTCTAGAGACCGATCTATTTTTCTTTGTAAGTTGCTAAAGAGAGAACGATAATAATCTACGAGATGAGATTCTTATGATTTACTTATGCGCGTTGATTTAACATCTGTCGAAATTGTAGTATATGTACGTTTAAAGTTTAAATTCGAGATACAGTACCGATCTATCAAATCGAAAATTATTTGCAAGCATTTAATTCGATTGTAATATGTACAAAAGTTGAATAGTGCAATAAAGTATGTTTAAATAAAAATTAAAAGAAAGATATGATGGACCTCGGTGCTGTACGAGTAATAATTGTGGTGAGCGATCGCCGCGAATACGTACGCAATTAAAGAAAAATAAACTTTTGTATCTATTGGATAGCGAACCTATTACTTATAGATTAAAAGTATATACATATATTATATATAACGCGAGAAGGGAAATTCATAATATTAACTGGGAGGAATAAAATGCAAAATATATATTTTATCTTTACTCGTATATATGCGCATTAAATTACAAGATATACGTAAATTAAACCAAGTACCGTGAGTGTATGCAAAAAAGTAGAACGTAAAACTGAACGTAAATGCAAACAGTGTGTACGTACGAGGTATGTCACTAAGATAGTCCGTATTCGATATAAGAGTAACATCTAAAATTTAACTCATAAAAATAAAGAAATAGCGTTAAGTAAACGGGTATGTGTCGGTCGCAGTGAGTGGAGGTGGCGGTCGTGAATTTTTAATTGGATTTTCGTCTAAATAAAGAAACGGCATCCGCCATATTAAGCGTACACCACGGGAGAAACGCGCAATGAAAATTTTATTTATTATTGTCCACAATACGCGAGAGAGCGGCGGCACTTGCAAAAAAGAAAATGTACATAAGTCCGATCCTTTCTAACTAGGCTATATCCGCAAAAAAAAAACGCTACCAGATAAGTAGAATAAAGAGAAACGAAAAAATATAAGACGAAGTAATGCTTGTCAATGAACGAGTAATTTTCAGACCGTAATATTGTTTAGTCCGGTAATATTTATTGATACATGTTATATATACCGCAAAGTGGATCTTTCTGTTTGTTTAATTGATTATACAATAAATATTTTTTATAATGTACTAGATAAAGTTGTAGGTATTTGTATGTACCACTTTCTAACATTTCCTTGAGTATATCTCTACGAAATGACTGGTGGATCGGTAGAGATTACGAAATCCTTATGCTGATGTACTCTCGCATATCCAATCATTTTTATCGGATTACACGTGTGTAAATACGAAACGACGTTTAAAAAAAGGAATGACACAAAAACATATTTTCGCACATTCAGATTTCGATTCTTTATTCTTTTCTTTTTGCAATCTCGATTCTTTAATCTCATCTGATTTGTTATTATGCAAATATCGAATAAACAAACTACAAAACGTCGTCCTCGTACGTGTATGCGCCGAAGAGTTCCTGACTTCCTGTCGCATTTCAGGAAAGTGTCATTATAATTTCCTATACTTTCTAGGTATCGTATTTCGATCCAAATACGTAAAATGTATAAATAATCAAGTCCCTCGCTCCATCGTCATCCATCGAACTTAAATTCATGGTTGTAAAATATTTGGTTAATATTGTTTTCATAACACGTGAGACAAAGGTACAGATAAAATCTCGATATATCAAATCTCTTAAAATATATTAGTACACGTTAATACGGAATACATTTTACTGGTTTCACCTTTTTCATGAATTTTTTAATGCACTAAATTGACTAATACATTCACTGTACTCGCTTCATTTGATCCCTGAATCACACTTCGATGTACTTGTAAATGTAAAAAAAAAAAAACGATCAAGGCATTATAAATGTATTGCTTATGTAATGCAGCTAGAGGAGATTGCCATAATTATATACACGATAAATTTCCGATTTTTTTGCTATTTCGAACGTTTCGTGAGATGTGCGGTCTCATCGATTATAAGTTCCGCCATGTGAAGACTGATAGACTCCGTAACGCGAGACAAGAATATTGTGTACAATAGTCGCTAAAACAAGAGGACATCCAAGCCGATATAATTATTTATCAGTAGAAATAATTATTTAACTGTGCGTTATTAATATTCAAATTAGCTAATTATTCCAAAAAAATTTTTCACAGATTGAGACTCAATTTAGGGTGACTTCGGAACTTTATTTATAAGATCTTTTCGTTTGTAAATCGAATGGACATCCAAATACAAGCAATAAAAATTGCCGAAGTTGCTCTATACGTATTATATGAAACTTTCATTTTGACGTCCCGGTGGACACAAGAGAGACAAACAAGATGCATTTGTATATAATTAGTCATGTGAAAAGTATATATGTGGAGATGAAAGTTTTCTTTTTTAAATTATCGGCAGGGCAATGTGAAAGGCGACGTCTGACGTCGCGGTATCGAATCGCGAGCCGCGACCCTGTATACGATACCGCGTAGGTAAAGTAGGTACCTGTTTACTAGATTAAAAAAAGAACCTTACAAAGTAACGGTAGCAGAGGTCTAATTAATCACTATTTATTGATACGATATAGTAACGATATTCACATGAGTTGAGTTCCGCGGGTAACTCGATTACTCAGTGACTCGACGAAAAATATAACTAGAGTAAGAGGATGACAATATTTCGATAGCCGCCACGTTGTCGTCCGCTGATGAACTTACGGTTTCTCCAGTGTGTCGCACTCTACGGATTTTAATTATAAAAGAATTCTTTATCAAAATTTTCTCTGAAAATCCTTCATTTTACCGCTATTTTTAATTACCTGATTCTCAAATGTTTTAAAATAATTTAAATCGAAAAAAAAAACAATATTACAGTTTTTAACTTCTCCTTAAAATTAAATAACTCTAGTAATCTTGGCATCTCTGGTTGTATAACAATGTTTAATGTCTACGCGGAATGCTTATGCGATTTTTACAAGGTACAACCGTGCCAAGGTTACCGGGAATCGACCTACTAGGACGACGAGCAAGTTCTGGATACGCTACACGCGAGTCAACAATCTAGGAGACAGGCCGCGATTTATTTAAGTAGAGAGAACGCGTCACGTGTCGCTGTTCCAAATAAAAATTCGCGTTAACATGCTTTCCTGAAGCATGACGTACGATCTGCGATTAGGTTTGCTATCTCTCAGCTACACACTTGAGTCACCATGGTTACGCATTGCCCCGACCGAAAAAACACAAAGTGTATATGTATCATATATTCTACTACATATTATATATATACGCACACCGTATACACGTACACACGATACATAAATACAAATTCGAGAAACAGTATATACACATTGCCTATTTACAAAAGACCGGGTACAATGCATTCGTTCCAACGATTGTGCGGAAGAAATACTTAAGTACAGGTGTGCCTAGCAGCCGAAAAAAAAACAAACGTGGGCAACCCTACTTTATCGAACGATATAAATCGAAGAAGAAAAATATAAATAAAAATGAATCTATATATATAAATATATATACATATAAATTATATATATAAATATATATATATTTAAATATAAATATATATACGATAATTATTACAGCTACAACAAACGTATATAGTTATTTTGTAGTGTCTCGCATTATGTAAACTATATGTATACATAAAGAGTACGACAGTGACGATGTTGATGATGATTGCAATGGTAAAACGATGTCTTACGCGAGTGAAATATGTATTATGTATAATGATGAAAACGACGAGACGATGGATATAATAGTATTACACATGCTATCATGTCGACGAGTCTAAACCGTATTGTATTATATTATATAAGAGTCTGTCCATATTAATAATAATTATTATTATTATATTAATTATAATAGCTGTGTTTGAAAACGAGAAATAAATTGTGGTTGAATATGAAGTAGGATGTGGTAAAAAAAAAAACAACGGTCGTGTCCCCCTTATCATTACATCGCATCGCGCGACGACGTTATGCAGATTCGAGAATCTACATCTCGCGGCGGTCAATCGGCGGGAGTAGAGACGAGATTCCCAGTCGGATTCTCAGATTCTCAGCGTGAAATCATGATTTCTATACTCGTACGAGGATATCGCGATTAGTACGCCACTGGCTTCCTTTCGAGAGAGTAGTCCAGCATACCCGGAGGTTGCGTTTATACGAATTGCAGCGGAAGGAACCATTGTATAATCCAAGATGGCCTCCACCTCGGAGAGGATTATTATTGGCTAATACGAAGCAAGAGGCCCCGCCTTGGCTCACGGCTCGTGACGGGATGATTTATTGGGATTTCTGTCTGTTCGCCCCTGCGCTGCAACGAACACACCATGCCTAGCTCGCCTAGACGGTAGGTATGCTCGGATTTGCGATATTGGATTTCGACATCTCGACCGAGTGCAGCTGCAACCATTCTTCCACGACGGACAGACGTCTTCGTTCCACGTGTCCACGTGCGGTCTGGCATGCCTCAAGTGTCAATATCAGATTCAATTTCAGATATCGCGAGTTTTATCTCGCCCCTTTTCGATTATTCATCCTTGGAATTTTCTGTTTTCTTTTATTTTTTTTTTATTTTTAATACCACGAAGATTAGCTTCTAAATGTCTTTTCCGTTTGCCAAAGCATACCTGTTAATTTGAAATTACATTATGCAATTGACACAATGATTTTGATTGCAATATCATATTAGGATAGAATATGTAAAATGATCACTTTATAAGTGTGATTAGAATCGACTAGTATGAAGAAATTGATATGTTGTTTTCTTTTCTAATATATATATTTAGATCATGTACGAAACAGTAGCAAAAGCAATTCAGATGTTTCTTACTTGAGAAATCTAAACCATGTCTAACTTGATATTAATTTGTACATACGCATTTTGTCAACGCATAATCAACTAATATCCAAGCATATTTTTTATATTACTTTATTAATATTTTGTGTGATTATAGAGACATTAAATATAAATCGAGCGATTACATTAATATATCCGCTAATTAAAATCTTGCTGTAAAGAGATCGATGAATTGACACGATGTTATCTGTCGCATCTGTTGACGCGACGAAAGGTGAGTATAATTGGCGGAAGTGCCGTAATGCTATCGCACTTCCGGAACTGGGTGACGAATCTGGGTCATGCGAGATAGAGAAGCAGAAGAATTCATCGTCAAGTGAGTATATCTGTAATCTGTATAGTGGATCGCGCGTATTTATACGATTTAAAGCAACGGCAACGGAGCGCACGGTGACCTTTGCCAATTCGGTTGTTGCAGGTGCATCCACGTTGCAAATGCATTTCGAGGCGAGGGCAAGGAGGGAATCCGTAGGCAGGACGAACGCGGAGGGAGTGAGATAGCCGAGGATGGCGAGAGAGCGAGGAGTCGGCGGAGTAGAGACCCCGGCAAGATAGAGGAGCCGGTGGGAGGATGGCGGTTAGAATTTATGGCCGCTTTATCACTTTACCGGCCTTGCCGCGTCTCCTTTAGCCCGTGAGGAGGGCAGGATCTCACGATGAACTTTGGCACTCGACTACGCTGCACTCGACGAGCGGTGAGCCCGTTAACTTTCTTGTTTACTCGCATTTCGCGAGAGATTACAAGTACACCTGTTTTCTCTCTCACTCACTCTCTCTCTCTCTCTCTCTCTCTCTCTCTCTCTCTCTCTCTCGATCTTGCTTTCTCCTTTCTTTTTCAAATTTAGCGCAATAACATATTACATGAAATGTGTTTCATTACCTGGAGAATACGTCAGTTAGCAAGAATATATTTTGAATTGAAAGTTTGGAGTATTTTGAGAAATTTAATTTTGTATATCTGATTGGATTTGTATCAATAATAAGTCGGAACATAATTATAACGAATGAAGGATATTTTTAAAGTAAAAAATAATTGAGAAAAATGTGCACTTAATAAGGAATATTACGATGACAGATTAAATATTAAACTTAACGGGAAAAAAAAAATCAATTTTATTCATCAATTTCTATTAAACAGTCAAATCTTAAAGTTGGAAACGTAATGTCTAGATAATGAACTTTTGACTCGAGTGTAAATTAATATAGAATCACACGGATTTAGGAAGATAGCAGAAGAAGGAGATAAGACTGTGCCTTCTAATCTGAGGAGCCTTGCTATATCCCTGCTATATATCCACGGTCTAAATTTATGTCTTTATATACTTTGTGCGTGCTAACTCTTGGGCTGCTCTCGCATGCTTCATTATACTTATGGGCGTTTAACGGTCAGATTTTAATTCACTTGGTCCAACCCGGGGGGGAATTGTTCCGGCGGTTAACAGGAAAAGTGACGCCGACCGAATCCACGAATATCTAGTGTAAACACATTAATAACGGGTCTCACGAGTAACTTATTGCATACACGGATTCTCCACGCGCGCGCGCGCGCGTGGCCTCGTAAAATTTACGTCATACTACCTGTCGGCATGACGACTACAACTACATAACGCATAAAGTAACCCCCATTAATAGACCATAAATTCTATCCCCGCGGCACCGTTGTTATGTATGAGCGTCGTTAGTGTTAATAGAGTGTTAACGGCTTCTATGCCGCTCTCGATTCTGTCCAGGACGTAGGTGACGGAGGTGGTGATGTAGGTAGAAGCTTGACTGAGGGGAGAGGAGAGAATGGTATAAGCGGTTGCCATAGAGGAATTCTGGTTGCGTGCTGCCCGGCTACTATTAGCCTCGTGCTTCTGCTATTTTGCATAGAGAATGCATCAATTTTCGGCGCTTCCCGCTCGCTGACCCCCCCACTATTGCCACCTTCGACGATTTTGTCTCCTCGCCGCGCCCCGCCCGGCTATCCCCACTCAATTTCCGTGGGCGCATCACAACGACACAATTCTCGTATACACGATGCATTTCGTACAATGTAAATCGTATCGAAGATAATTGATATCACGAACGCCTACTTCTACTGGAAATGCCCGTAGTCCGTACGCGATGCTTGCTCGCCTGTCCCGACTGCTTCCGCACCAGCGTTTGTTTCCGCTGGGTGATGATCAGTTTCGATTTGCGCGATGGAGATATCCGATAATGTAGACAATTACCAGGAGTTTATGGAGATTCGAACGTTCGCTCGAATTTATAGGAACATTAAATTTAAGTGGCTTTACGATGCTGAGAGATTTGCACACGTTTGGACAATGATTTCTTGCATTCTTTACTAGATTATTTATTTACAATGGACTTTATTTAATAATTATTATTCTATACTTATATACTGTAGTTTTACAATCCTTTTTAATAGATAACATAAATCATACTCTTACGAAGAAATTTCTAACTAAGTCTAGGTATGATAAAACATAACCGTATCATTAATCTTTTCAGTTAGTTCTTACATTTCAAATCCTAGGATTATACGAAAAGAAGCATGCCCATTAACATGCTTTTTTCGTATTATTTTTGCAAAAGAGAGAGAATTTGAAAAAAATTTCTATCGTAGTCGATTCTCAGGTGTAAACAATGTTGCGCTTTAGGCGGATCATTGTATGCTGCTGGAGGACGCCGTTGGATACATAACGTATAACGGAACATAAATCAATAATATCGCTACCCCCTCTCTTTTCTTCCCTCCCTAGGATGCCTCACTCCATCCCCGAACGCCGTTACTGCTCTGTAAACCGCCAAGCGAACTCGGCGTCTTTTCCGCAATCAATGTTCATGTCTAACACATCACAAACAATATACGTTCTCTAATATTCGACGATATATGTTCATCGAGAACTTTATAGCTTGCTCAATTAAATTATTCATTTATTTTGGCTCAATAAAATAATGCATGTTTGTAAAGTATTTTATATAATGTATCAAAACTACACTCGATGAAAAACAACTGCTCGATATTTGTCCTTAAGATGATACTGTAATAATTGCATCACGTAAATTAAGTATTCAAATCGTAAATCGTAAATATGATGTCTTTTAAATATGTCAATGCAAAAATATATTTGAATATTTTGAACCATTCTTTAATGTCATTAAGTGAATTTTAATTAGTACAGTATTATTTTATGAATGGGATTCTCTCATATATTAGACAGTGTTGATGGAGAGGTGCATGAATATCCAGAATTTAGATAGAGAGCTATACGTATGTGACCTTGTCAGATTTATATATATCATTTTTTTCTACGCTATTAAGATACAAGCTGACATTTGCTGAATTAATGCGAATTTATTTCGAGCGGGGCGCATTTCCAGGTGTTTTAGGAAGTTTGGGTCCGGGTCCACGTCGCCGATGTATAGAAAGGCTAAATGCAAAACCTTGTAAGGGGAGAGACTCGCGTACTCCGAGAAACTAACAAAACATCCTCGCAATTAGCCGGATGTCCCGATGACATCAACGGGGCATCCCCCGGGACCGCCAACCGTGCTACGTAGCCTCGCGACAGAAATTTCGCCGCTGCGCCACACCGCCGACTTCGGTCCCCTACCGCTCTCTACCAGTTGTGTTGCTCCTACCAAGCGACCATCCGCGACCTCTCAACGGGATTCTAGGTGACGACTGTAGCTGTTGCTCACCGGCTACACAGATATGCTAAATAATAAAAACTTATCGGATTTATGTCGTCCAGAATTGGACACGGGGCAAGGGACGGCAAGGAAGATGCACGCGGCGAGAACGGTGCGCGCCGAGGTGTGTTAGCTCTCTCTTTCTCTCTCTTTCTCTCTCTCTCTCTTTCTTTCTCTCTCTCTCTCTCTCTCTCTCTCTCTCTCTCTCTCGCGCGCGCTCTCTCTCTCTCTCTCTCGTCGAATGAAATTGAAAAGTAGCCGGGAGATATGGCCCTACCGACGAATATCGGTAGACAGACGAATGGCGTGGGAATGAGCAAGGGGTTGGAACGAGTAAGCGGGACATGAAAAACTACCGTGCGAGGGCTGATAGACTGAAAAGTGTTTGTTCGACGCAGACGAACGTTTTTTTAAAATCTTTTGCTGCCCTTTCTCACCCGAGGTCATTGGGATGCATTGTAGTACGCGAGATTGGCGCAAATACGTTCGCCTCATTGTTCCCTGTTAAAAATATCGCGACCTCGTGAATTCAATAAACTTTCACAACTATGGGTGACGTAAGTAGTATTGCCCAGTGCCGCGTCGAACAAATTGAAAAGATTCTTACATTTATTTTTTCTTACTTTATGTCAATGCTACTATGCTGTTATTCATTGAACGCATGCATTTCTTCTTTCGTCTCTCTAATTATTATATTTTTCGCATTAATTTGTTGCATGAGCGACATTTACCTCATACGTCTATTTTTACATATTTTTCCAATATTTTTATATATAATAGTTATAAATTATATTTCTAACAATAATAATAAAATACTTTTTCTTGTTTCTTTTTCAGATTCAAATTATCTGTTATGGATCTACTATGGATTTCAACAAAATGGTTACATCGGCTTATCCAATGGATGCTCTTTCATCACATATATCATCACATACATTCATCGTATTATACAAATCAATGAATACGAATAATGAAGATCTATGGTGATATTATTTACGATTTACTAACAATAAGTGAATAGACGACAATTTAAAATGAGTGAGGATACAAAATTTGATATAAAGAGTTAATAATCTGTATGAAAATGCAATAGAAGTTTACCACTTGTGGCACCAGTAAAATGTATATTATAACTACAAAGGCGAGATTTTTATTATCTACGGAAATATTAGAGAATGTACACAAAATAAACCTATTACAATAAAAAATAGAAATGGAAATAGCCACTCAAATGTTGAATCGGGTAACGTGACACATGTGGATATGATGGTGCACGTCGATGACGGGTCCAATCGAGGACTGGAATAGCTGGATCTAGGCTAATACCATAATTAAACAGTATACAATTATACGTTTGTTATCTTCAACTACTATTCGAAACTGGCGCCTTTCAAGAATACCGGCAACCATTAGACTGCCCCCGTGACATTCGAGGTAGAGTATGATGGTTCCATCGAGTAGGTAGTGCCTAGACGGGGCTCCACCCAGCACTTAGTTTACGTCGCGATTGCGGCCCCGGGCACGGCCGTTTCCAGGGTACAGTCACGCCCCTGCCATGCGAGTACTGTACTCCCATTCGCTGGCCCATATCTCATCTGGTCCATCGCATTAGCCTAATCTGCCAGCAACGTGAAAGGAGAAAAAAAAATACGGCCATCGACGTTGCCACTGACGAGAGAAATCGCGGCGAGGTGCTGCCACCTTATTGGTAGTATCGAGAAGTTGACCGGTTGTCGAATTGATTTTTTTCCTTCGCAAGCAACGTTGTCACGCTCTCATTTTGACTAGTAGCTCGATTTCATCGTTCGTGTATTGCTAGGATTAATATCTACCTACAACGGTTTTGTAATTCGCGGTCATACCTGTTCGCGTCGGCCAGACACGAGAATTTGATTGCCTGGTTCACCATGGAGACGATCGAAATGGTGGGTAAGACGAAATTATGTTTTAATAACGTATTTAGAAACTGTAAACTAAGTTTGAGATAAGAGCTTCGCTGTGTAACTATGTATAAATCTGATTTTAAGATGTCGATCTTCTAAAAATTCTCTCGATATCACAAGAGTAATATTGCTTGTCTCGATTGAAATAATTGTGTTGTTTAAATATCTAGCCGAGATCTTGAAAATATTGCACGAATTCTTTGAATCGTTACAAGTAGATTGTTTCTGAATAAAAATGTCGAGATAGTGATTTTGGAGTAGAAGGAATTGAAAATTACTCATAAATGCCAAAAACGTAGATGATATCAAAATCAGTTTTGTTATTTAATTAGAATATGCTGTTACAGTTTGTTTCCATCATCGGACGTGCAGTTCACCATCATCGGGTCGAGTTGCTAGTGATGTTGCAAAGAAGAGCTCGGATTGGTAAGTAATCTGATGCATGACGATAAAATTATAATTATATATTGAAAGGAATATAGATTTCGTAGTTTTAAAAATTGCGAATTTTTGTAATTCGAAGTTACAATATGTTAGTTGAACTTCGCAGAGTTCAATAGAATGTATTTCTTTAAAACTCTTCGCTTTATGTTATTAAATATTGCTTTTAATAGATAGAAATGTTAACAAAAACAAGATATTGGCAACATTATATGAATAAATGCAAGTTGCAAATCCATCGAACGGTAGAGGCTCAGAGAAGTTTATGGCAGATTCCGCTGTACTTTTGCTATTGTTTTACGATTTGTCACACACAATTGCCAGGTTTTACCAAATGGTAAAGTTATTTTACGGTGAAGATTGCACGTGCTGCAGTCTTCTTTCCAGTATCGCCATATGCTATCTTTGAGCTTGTACGGATATATTGCGAAGCAATAAATTTTCGTTTCGTTTAAAAATACGTGACGTAAAGTCTAAAATCTGGTGACATAGCGGTGGGCTACGTTCGGCAAAGAAAAGTCAGACGTCAGCGAGGTATGTGGCTAGGTCGAATATTGCGTCGATTTTGGGGGCCGTAAATTGCCCTAGTTTCCGGCAGTAAACCGCAACACATGTGCATACGCATGGAAAGCACATTGAAAGTTTTCTTTATTGCGAAAAATTCTCCCGCAAAATGCGGTATTGTTCGTGGCTGAAAAGACTCGAGACTGACCTTGCGAAATGCGCAGGTAGAACGTTTTGCAGGCCAAGGTCTACAAAATCATACGAGGTATGTCGATCGACTTCGAATATTCAACAAAACGATAGGAGGTGATGTTGAGCGCTTCAGGGATGATATCTATATACATTTTTATTTATCTAGATCGCGCTATGTCATAAATTATATGAGAATCACTTCGAGATATTACGATATCAACGAACAGATTTTATGTGTATCTCGAATATTTTTAGTGAATATCTTTTCTTTGTTTTGAACGATGTCTAAATTGCGCGGCCACTTTGCCGCTACTTAATTTGGCATTTCTTGTAAATCTCAGTGTTATTTTACCACACAATTTCGTTCTCTTTCGCAAAATGCTTGGTAAAAATGATGTGAGATCGTTGTCGTACGAGTGCATGTTTTTTTATGCTCAAGCGATTTCCAAACTGAGAGAACGATTACGTTATTTGCTGTTATATAAGCGTATTGGATCACGAGGAACGAAAAAATTCCTCTCAAATATTATGTTATAATAAATTAATAATATTAGTCAAGATTGAGAAAATTCTAAGGTCTTTCACTAATTTAATAAGCTATTTTACTCGCTGTAATAATTACTTGATAACAACAATTTTGAAACATAGATGGATATAACAGAATCCTGCATAATTTTATTTTGGATCTGCTACATGAATTCTTGCACGTATTATCGGACTTGATTGTTCTGTGATTGAGTTAATAACGTTGGCACATCTAGATTTAGCACCTGTTCTAACAGTAACTTTATTGTCGTACGCATAAGAAAAGCACAAGATTAATGATGCCTTAATGACTATACGAACCGTTTTGAAGCATGACTGTCTGCTAAAATATAACTCAATTCCACATGATGGATATCAGTGCCCTTTTACATTTCACAGAGCTTTACGTGATATGGGTTCGAAAACCTATTTTTATAAATGCCGGTCGATTATTCTCTATATCAATTAGTAGTAAATCTCACAGATATTTGCGTAACGAAGTCATTTCGTAGTCAAGTTGGAAAGTAGATATAGTGTTAAAAGTATATATTTTTACACGATGCGAAGAAGTTAGAATATTAATGGTAACAGTTGATATCAAAACGAAATTAAAATACATCTTGCGTGAGTAGATTTTGCGTTTGCCGTGTTAAAATAGATCATCTCGGTGACACCTTGTAAATTTGATTATGTCCGTGATATCTAATTAACGCTAAGTTAATATTTAAAAAATTCTGGGGCTATCTATTATTCATATTATGGGGGGAGAAACGTACATAGTATCTCAGCAATTGTAACTCTCGGGAAGAGTTACTTTATACGATCTTCTAATGAATATTTCAGAAATCTGCTTTGCGATTGCGGGATGTTGCGTGTTTAAACACATACGGGCGCCTATATGTGATATCGGATAACATGGTTTATGGGCAAATCCTATGTCTTGCTCCCTCTTCGTTGATTTTTACATTTTTGTGCATACGTTTTTGTCAGTACGTTCGTCCCCCGAAGATTTTGCTTCCTAAAACAGTAGTATTGTATATCAGGATATCATGCTAATTTTATAGCCGAGTACAGATTAAAGAAACAAATAAGATAAGTAGTTAATCTAGTTCTTTTATGTTCTTACATCTAATACATTTCCCGTCGCACGGAAATATTACACGCATATCATATCGTAATATAAACGGCCATAAAAATTCTTTTTGATAGTATAATTGAAAGTTCACAGAGTATTGAAATTTTAACGAGATACTATAAAATCTTGCGATTGAAATATTGTTGCAATAAACATTTCATATCTATAAATAACATTTATTCAAAATTTTGCTCTTCTTACGTTTACGATTTTGGACTCACGAAAGCCTTATAAGCGCCATAGAATGGTAACTGTGGTTTGATCGAGTGTGAAATCGAGATAGAAACTTGGAAAGTTTCTGAATCGAATTATCTTGCGTCTGAAATCCATTGAAGCCTTCGTAGGGTAAACTGTAAAAGGGAAACGATGTAGTTCTCATCGGGAATTAACGAAATATCTGATAAACATAGCGTAGAACTAAAATGCAATTTGTGTGCGCGCATTTCTAATTATTAAAACGCCGAGCTTAGGCACAACAATTTGGAGAACGATTTCTATAGAAAGCGACCGGTCTAATTAATATATTAATTTAAATATGCAATTTAAATATGCAATTTTAAAATATGCAATTTAAATATGCATTACACTTAAAATATTACGAAGAAAAATTTCCATCGCGGTTCACATATTTCTCGCTAAAAATTGCTGCATCTCAAATAATTTAATTATGAGTTTTCTAAGAGAAAGGTATTTAAAACATCACTCTAAAAACACCTTATGTGCAACGTATATTTTGCATTAAAAAATACAATAAATTAAAACAGTATCCGTAATATCAAACATGCAATTACATTAATATTAAAATCAATTGTGCAACATATATATTTACGGTTAATTATGCAATTTTGAAATATTAATGAACAATTAAAACGAATATATTGGGAAATTTATGGCGACGTCTATTCCATAAAATATAGAAATATAATATACTTTTTTATATTTCTTCCGTATCCATTACTCAGCGTTTAGCAAAAGTAGTGGAATATTGTGTAATTCCAATTGAGTCGTTTACTTTCTTCTTTTGCTATTCGGTCCTATCTCATTGAAAGATAAAAGCCTAACCGCAAGTTATCTCTGCACTATTCAGTGAAAGATTTGTACTGTAATGTGATTGTGCATTTAAAGTACATTTTGTAATAATACTTTAATGACATTTGAATTATTAAATAGTTTTACTTTCATGTGATTCGATCTGCCGAGGCATCTGTACGAAATCATCTGTAATAAATATAGCGTTATAATGCTGAAATAACGTAGATAACTTTTAAAATGTAATATTTTTAATACTACAATTTTGTGAATATTTTAAAAAATTAAGAAATGTTATTTGTAACTTACCATTTGGACAGAGAATATAAAATCCGTCAAATATTTTATAAATTTTTCCTGGCAAATGGTTGATATCCAGCTGCATACGCAATGGTAGATAAGTGAATTCTAGATGCTTTCTTCGAAGAATAACCTGAAAAAAAATTGTGTGTTATTATTTGATTGACTTTATTGTACTGTTGCTATAAACATTAAAATTTAATCTATTTTTTGTTATTAAAAACAGAGTCTTATAAATAATTCTATTGTATTTTGATCTATTAATATATGTATTATTATAACTGTATACTGTATTATGGACTCTATCGTTTACATCTTTTCTGATTGAAAATGGAACAATTAATTTTTTAACATGATTTTTTTATATTTATTTAATTACATGCGTTAGCTAAAATAGTGAATAATTGAGCTGTGCTAGCTAAGTATATAGTGACAAATGTGATATGATTAATGGGAGATGAGTTTAAGACAAAATTTATGCATGATACTCTTTTGCCTGCTGGGGATATCAAAGCCACTGCAGACAAATAAATCCAGTCGCATTCCTTGACAATGAATTTCATTCGTGCTACGCACAGAAGGGAACGAGATTCGTAGGGAACAGAATGGGAAGCCATGATATTCGCATCAACGTGAAATGACAAAGTGTTATACCGAATTAACGTTTTTGGTAGAGGATCATCAAGGAAATGAACAATTCTAATATCCTATATGATATTTATTTTTATAATGTTCGTTGACGTAGTAAAATTGCGAAACGTAACGCGCGATACAGAGATGGCAACTGAAATCCGTAATACCATAAACATGAAAATCAGACTTCTACCGCAAATGTGAGTAGCGCGATAACGATGCAATTTTAAATATTTAATAATACCATCATAAAATAATGCCGCGCGACATACATTCTATTTTCTCCGAAGGCTCGTTAACTGTATTAGTTGATATTTCACAATTTATATCCTTTTTTGTTTGTTTATACGAAAAAGAGAACAAGCTGCGCGAAGGGCGACTACTATTAATAACCTAACAAAGTTAAAAATGTTTACTGCGGGTTACAATTCATATGAAACTCGCGGTCGTAACGACGGTATAATTTTGAACACTGCTTCGTACTTAACACTGCACCTGACATTTTAATGTTACAATCGGGTTTTATCCATACATGAGAGAGAACTTAAACAATTCTTGCTAAAATTACACTCAACAAGACGTTACGCTGCACCCGAATTATGTAAATTTCTCATGACGTATATACGGCAAAAAATATATATACGTATAATACGAGGAAAAAGTTGTAAGACGTACGGGACGTGCAACTAATATTAATAACGTGGCAAAGTTAAAAATGTTTACTGTGTATTACGGCTGATATGAGGGCCACGAGCATGGCAGCAGGGTCCCTTGTGATTGATTACACGTCTCTACGTCTCTCCCTCTGACGGGGTGTTCCTATGGATATTGCCTTGGCACGGCCCTGCACGCTACGATTCCCCTTGCCTTCCACCTTCGTGTCTATAGAGACACCATACCGATCTATTCTATCCTTCCCCCTCCCCCTATGAATCAAATCGCCCTTCACTTCTCCTCTCCTCTCTTCGTTATGCTAAAAATTAAAATCATCTTCGAAGAATGTGACGGAACAAAATTGCTAGCTGTGATTTTCTACGTTAATCAATTTACAAATAAAAGGGTGGACTAATGCACCTTGAAAAATATTTTTATTTGTGCGATGTTAAAGTGTATGTTTAAATCTTGTACAAAAAGGATATGTTTATGTTGTTTTGAAGGCACAGCATATATAATAACTGAAATACTCGGAATAATTGTGCATTTAGATTAATAATAACCTACTTATAAATTTGAGGGCACATTATTTGAGGGCACATATTGCGTTACAGTAATTAGATGATTTCATCGGGGAACATTTAATCGTTTGTTAGACTTTATTAAACTGGAGAATTAAATAGTTATGCACATCGCATCTTGCGTTGAACTAGTTTTTACAGAGTTAATGAATGGTCCAGACACTCTAATTGAGATTTTATTATAGACTATCACATGGCAAAACAAATCGATTGATAGTTACAAAAAGCAATGACATAATTGCGAAGTGGTCTTGAATATAAAGATTCTGAAAAATAACTAGATGCTAAATCACATAATTAAGCTTGAAAACGCAAGTATTAATGACTTGAGAAGTGTACTCTTGTGCAATGTTATAATTTGTAGTCATTAAATATTTTTTTATAAACCCTCGCAGTTTGTGTTTTATATATTTTTATTATACTTCGAAAAAATAATGACGGGTTTTTTATATACTGCGAGTAGTCATTTATATTTTATTTGTAATTCTAACTTGCTGTGCAGACAATAATTACCTGTACGACAAAAACATTTGTACGTTTTTAATAACTTCCTGCAATTTTGTATAATGCTTACATTAGAATAACTTAAAAGGGTATAGAAGTATGTTTCGATTCGTCGCTTGTAATAGAGGGAAACGGGATTTATTATGTTTTATTCTCAAAGTGTATACTCTTCAAGCAGATTGTATAGCACGAACGAGTTGATTCCTTATAGTCTGTCCCTATTATGCTTTTAATCATCAAGCAAGTTCGCGAGAGGAATCTCATTAACGCATGTATATTTCTTACTCAACGCGTATACGCAAGGCGGTCCCTTGACCTTTGCGGAGCCTCCATACGTGTTTAGTAGCAACTGGTTGCAGTAGCAAGAATTAGCAATTAATCTTTTGGTTGGTGTTACGAATGGGGATGGAGAACGATCTGGACGCAAAGGTGGAACGCGGGAAGAGCGTAATAAAGAGAAGAACGAAAGAAGCAGACAAGCAAGAGCATAGGGGAGAGACTTATAGACCACATATTATGCAAACGACGTTACAATTAGATCGTGGTTTTCTACCGGTTACCTAGTGCTTAACACAATTTAACTTTTGGTCATAACATACAATACATATTTTGACAGATGTATGTGTATACATTATGGATATCTGTAATAGTTAAACAATAAGCATTACAAGTTAATTGCTTACTTCCTTTCGTTACACGCTTCTTTTGTTACGCATTAAATAATTCGTTATGATAGGGATTTCCAATAGGACAACGCACATTGTTCCCTTCATCTCATCGACAGCCCGGCACTGTCTTACAAAGAAATGGGCAGCAACGACGGCGGTAGTGGTAGGTAGGTCCCTCGGGAAGCTGCGATCCTTCCTCTCTCTCTCGCTCCCTCTCGTACAGCAAACGGGAAGGCGAGCCACGGAGCCACGGAGAAGGAGGGACCGCATCTTGCTCCGCAGGACTCCCTCTCTCGCCACCGGGGTCTCGCTATTTATTTTCCAGGATTTCAGAGTCCGAAGCCATTAATCTCCGCTCCGCAGCGTCAGTAGAGCGCGTCAGGGCGACGTCGGGGTGCGTGGCGTCGCCGACGTCGCTCTGCTCTTAGCCGCAGCCTCGTGTACAACGTTTGGAACCGCGACGGTGAGGTAGGGGCAGAGAAGGGAGAGAGAGCCGAGAGATGAGGTGTCGGTAGGAGAGGTCGTGGAAGTTGGTCAGAGTGGAGGGAAAAGGGACGTGTGGTCGGGACGAGTGGGGATCTAGGCTGGCTCGCTGAACGGCGGGGGAAGCAAGGGAGAGAAAGCTCGGAGAGGGAGGTGCTGATGGCGGCGACGAGAGGGGAATAGTCGTATGGTAGAGTTATGCAAAAAATATCTGCCCGCAAAAAGATTGGATAAAGAAGGTATGGGGGATATTAGTGTATTAGGATTCAGCTCTGTCGCCGGTCAATGCCATAGTCGATGATTTATTCCACGACTTGCTCAGCTCTCGTACCGAGTTAATTATTACCTTACTGTATTTTCAGACGAAATTATATTTTTGTTGAAGTTAAAATTTAATTTTTTGGAAATTTTTATACCAGATGGCTAAGGGCTCACATAAACATTTTGCATAACACAATCAAAGCATTAATACATTCCTTTTGTTGCGGGACTCGGACGAGCTCATGAATGCCATCCGTTGATTGAGAATCGCGAATATAGCCGAGCCGTTCTTCTCTCGTTAATTAACATTGTGCTCCTCACGCGCGAAAGGAGACGTCAAAAGCCCCTGGTAAATCCAGACTCTGAACCCCCTTTGTCCGCGGGGAGACGCTGAGCAACCCTCGTGCTCTTTTACCCCTTTTATTGTTTATCCCGCCTACTTATTATGTCAGCATCATACCACCAGGCTGTACTAACCTCTTGATATTCTAATCGGCCAATTCTCATCTACATCTCTCGTCACTTCCCCCCCCCCCCTTGTCGTTTACCCGGCGTCTAGCCGGAGATTCCCGGAATTCCTGACATCGGCGATAACTCTTAAATTCCTGCAAGATGAAAGAAGCGCAACGCCGTCGGCAGAACGTCCGGAAGAAATACTGTTCTGCTGTTGGAGGGCCGATTCTTTCATGTAAGGACGAGAGAAATTCCTTCTCTCAACAATCGCGGGGATAAAATGGAGGCAAGAAATCGATAATGTTATTTTTGCTGATGGCTCCTATTATGTATTTTGAGCGGTTATTAAAATATCGAACGGAATGTTTTGACGAAAGATTATCGGAAACAGATGATTTGAGTAGATATCTTATATGAATATTCAAATTGTATAATATTATTCAGATATCTATGTTTCTTTTGTCAAAAAATTATCGTAAATAAAAGATTGAATTATTTAGAAATAATTCCGCAGCATTGCTAATTCTTGATAGTTGCTATTAGAGGTAGTTGCTGCTTTCGTACGTAATAAAAAACTTTCACATGCCGTAGCACAGTCCAGAATCTCGATATTATTACTATGTAAATCACCCCTTCTCTACGGTACGCTGACGCTCACGGTGACAGCCCCTAGAATGTTCCGTGGTAGGATGGATGAGTTCTAGGTTCTTATTAGATATTCCCGCGCACCAATCTCCGATCTGCAAACCCGTTCTATCGCTTTGTATCGATACACGTTGCACTCTTGCCGAGAAGAGAACGCTTCTTTTCACTATAGGCGATAATGTAATTGAATGCAAAATTGCATTTTGTTCCCGAGCAATGGCAGCATTATATTATCGCAGATCCA